GGGCCCTGCTGCTCCCTCGCTGTGGGGCCTGGGCCCCACCCCATTCTCTGGGCGTGGCTGGGATTTCTCCCCACCTGAAAAATCCCATCCTGTGTATAAACGCCTCTACGCCTAGCCTTCCTGTTTGGCTGCAGCCACAAGCGATTTTATGTGAAGCCTCCCTCCTTAAAACTAGTCTGAGTCATAACATGACAGATACGGGCTTTTGTTGTCTCTTTTCCCTCCCCTGTCCTGACTTTCTCCCCAAGCCTCGCTTGTGCTCAGCCAATCGTTGGTGAAGTCCTGGCCAAAAGGTCCACTTACCATGGCTCTCCGTCTACCCACGCCACTCACCTGAGAAGCGGCACGCAGGGAGGCAGCTGACGTTAGATGGGGCAGGGAAGTGATGCTCTCAGCTCTCCGCCCAGACCCCGTCCACCAAGTACGTGGGGAGACTCCACAGTGAGCCGAGGTCGGCCGTCTCCTTTGCTGGAACGCTCAGAGCCCTCATGTCTCCAGGAGGGTGACACAGTATTGGGCATCCCCCAAAATGGTACACAGCGTATCTCAAACTTTTTTCCCATGGAACATTTGGAGGGCTGGTGTTCAGTCTGAGCTAGTCTCACCCCCAGTTTTAGAGCCGAATACTGTGCAGGCCAGAAGGCAGACTGTGCGGCCGCCACGCGGTTCACCAGAGTCAGACGGGCGTCCTGAGTCTGGGTCTTTGCTTTCGTGCCAGCTTTTCCCACCACCTTTCCATGTGGTATGGAAGGCACTGCTGAGGCTGGTCTTGCAAAGCCCGCTCCGTGGAGAGCTTCCAGAAGACCACTGTCCTGGATTCAGCCTCCAGGCACACCCACTAGATGCAGCTGGACACCCCTTCCCTGCTCGCCCCACCCCCAGCAGCACACTGCGGGAAGTTCCAGCACTCCTGAGGGCTCCTACCTGAGTGGAACAGGAATCTGGGTTTGTTTTCTCTGACTAGATCAGCGCCGGCCTTCAAGCGTGGCTCCCGAGTAGCTGAGCTCGGGTGCCCGTGTCGAGGAGGACAGTGCCTGGGGTGCCACTCCCAGAGCAATTTGGGCAGGTCACGCCTGCTCTGCATCTGCACAGGGCCTGTACCTGGGGACCCACGATCCAACGTCCCTGCCCCAGGCAGGACAGAGGGACTTCCACTGCTGCTCTTGGCTGCATCTTGCCCGTCTGTCAAGTGGAGATGTGAGCTGTCGAAATCTGACGGCTTGAGAGCTAGGAGGCCCCTCTGCCCTGCAGTCTCTGCCCGCCACGGGCAGACTCCAAGCTGCACTTACAACCTCCGCAACCTCTCTCACGTGAGCCTTGCTTCTCCGGTCTTGCTGGTGACACCCCGAGACTGAGGCTCCAGTGCTCTCCCTTTAATATTGCCGTAGCTCTCTGGCGGGCCTCTCTGCCTCCGCCAGACACACTTTCCTCCAGCCAGGGCTCCTCCTGTGCCCAGCACGCACGGCCCTCACTCTTTGTGGGCCGGACCCTTTCCACACTTGGTTCTAAAACTCCCTGATAGCAGTGATGGCCACACAGCTCTGTGAATATACTAAGAGCCACTGACTTGTACTCTTAAAAGTGTGAATTTTATGGTATATGAATTATATCTCAATAGGCTGCTATTAAAAAAAAAAGGAAAACAACTCGCTGGGAACCCCTTCTTATTTATTGCAATGTTTCTCAAAATTTTCTACCAAATCATTTCTAATAAAGGAGAGGTGATGGTACCCACAGGACTGGAAATAGGGTTAAATAGCCTGTCTTAATCATTGATTCATTTGTTCATTCATTCAGCAAGTAGTTATTTTATTGTGCATTTTCTATGTGTTAGAAATGCAGTAATAAAATAGGTATAAGCTAACCCTCACACAGTTTAGTTAAATAGAAATTTTCTTTGAAATCTCATGTTTTAATTGATTAACTAATTGATTTTTAGAGATGGGGTCTCTGATGCCCAGGCTGGAGTACAGCGACACAATCATAACTCTCAGTAACCTCAAGTTCCTGGGCTCAAGCGATCCTTCTGCTTCAGCCTCCCGAGTAGCTAGGAATACAGGTGTGCACTACCATGCTCGGCTAATTTTGCTTTTTTAAATTTTCGTAGACATGGAATCTCACTGTGTTGCTCAGGCTGGTCTTGAACTCCTGGCCTCAAGTAATCCTTCTGCCTTGGCCTCCCCCACTGCTGGAATTACAGGTGTGACCCACCACATCAGACCTTCATGTTTTAATTTAAAACTGCATGTGCATTTTACATTCTAGTCAATAATATACCTGTGATGATTTTAATATGACATATTTTTCCAAAACTCTTCAGCTAACATTGCTGCTCTGGGAAGATGCTCTTTGCTGGCCCAGGCCTTCACGTACCTTCACGTACCTTCCGTCCCATCCCCTGTTCCTCCAGGGGACCCTTAAGCTGTCGAGGGGGTGGAGGAGACTCTCCAGCACCCCACCCACTCCCCCTCTTTGGGGGGAAGCCTGAATTTGGGGGCTTATCCTCAGCCAGAGGGAGCGGCCGACTGGCGCAAGGGTTATCACTGCGTCCCTGTTGCCAGCGTCAGTTCAGAAGCCACGTGGGGTCCAGTTCTGGCTCACGGGACAGGGGGCGCGCGGATTCTCAGGCAAGCGCTGCGGGGAGCCATGCTCTGTTTCCCTCCTGCTGGAAGTGAGCGAGGGAGCCCGTAGCACTGGCTGCCTCGCGCAGACCCCTTGTGTCCCCGAGAAGCAAGCAGACACGCACACAGGACGGGGCCGCTGAGAAAGTCCCCAGACGTGACAGTGCGGGGCTGACGGAACTGGTCCGGAAGCTTGCACGCTTGGGCGAGTCGACATACTGTTGAAGCCTTCTCGCAAGTCAAGTTTGTCACCACAGCTCTGAGTACCCTGACGATTGGAAGGGACTATAGGTCAAAGTCAAACTTCTTAGCCAGGCTGTTGAGCCTTTTGTGATCTGCAGCCAAGTCCCCACCTACCTCCCCAACCTCAGGGGGTTTAACATCTCCTTTGGCATCCCTTTGTCATGCTGTTCCTTCAGATTACACACTGTTCCCCGAACCTATCATAATTTTTCCTATCTGCCTATCTTTGCTTGCCCCTTATGTATTCCAGAGCACCTCTGGCAGGAGAGGGGAGCAGGGGCCAGACGAGGAGGGGTACATCTGAGGATGCCGGGGTCCTCAAGGCCCAGCAGCTGCCAGGGAAGGGCCTACTTATTGGGACCGGGCTGGGACTGCCTCTCTCCAAAGAGACAGCTGGGACCTCCCTGCGGACCTCACCGAGCGGACCTGGCCTGAGACCGAGGGGGAGTCAGGCAGTGAGGAGGCAGAGGGGAGCACGAGGGCGATGGGAGAAGGGCAGGCAGGCCTGGGGAGGGGAGGAAGAGAGTGGGGGGAGGCCGCAGCAGACCTCAGGAGGAAAGGGAGGAAAGCCAGAGGACGGCAGAAAGAAAAGGGAGGCAGGAGGGAAGAGAGAGGAAACGGCCAGAAGGAGCCGTGGAAGGAGGAGACAGGGAAGAGGGAAGAGGCCGGGGCAGGCGGGCCTGCGGGAAGGAGCTGGGGCCGCGCAGGCTGCCGGGCGGGCGGAGCAGAGGCAGCCAGGCGCTGCGTGAGTGCATAGCTAAGTTCCGGAGGGAGCAATTTTATCAATAGCACTTTACCATACAAGTGATTCTCATCACAGCTGGTGCTAGGTGGGTTGGGAACAGCAATAAAAAAAACAGTTTTATTAGAAAAAAATCATCCAGGTTCTTTGAAAACGCTGTACGCACGCCCCTTCAGGCTTCGGTGGAGGAGGCCAGGGTGGGCAGACAGCCCTTCAGGGGCTGGGGGGCATGGCCCCAGGACACACACACACACGCACACACATGCACGCACATGCACGCACCTGAACGCACATGCACACACACGTATGTGCATATGCATACACATACGCACAGGGCATAGGAGAAGGTGCACGGCTATTAAGTCTCCACAGAAGGGGGCTGGTGACAAAAAAGGGGCCTGTGACACAGGCTGGAGGCTGGCGCCCCTGGCAGGGATGGGGTCAAGGAAGAGAGGAGGCACTCCGGGCTGTGTGCCAGGCACACCCGCATGTGCGATCCACGTCCTGTGAGGAGCTCTCCAGCCCAGGCAGGGCTTTTCTGGCACATGCAGCCTTGAGAACTACGGCCACATGTCACACAGGACCAAAGAAAGCTAGAAGAGTGAGAGAATGACAAAGGAGTCAGAAAATCACAGAGAGTCACCTTTTAAGGGGTCTCCAAAGACCATCTGAAGAGTAGTGGTTTTAGAGCTGTATTGCTCGGAGCCCTGGGCTTCTGGAAGGGGCTGTGATGGATGTAGGCGAGGAGTGGGGCAGCAGGGGGCCTTAGATCTGCCCCTACTTCACTGCAGTGTCTGTTATTAGTTTTTAATTCTCTGTGTTAATACTAGAGTTTTTTTTTAAACCAATTTTTTAACAATATGTAAAATAAATTTAAAAAGGAAAAAAAATTCTGATCTAGTTCAACCCATTTTACAGATAGAGAAACTGAGGCCCCAAGAGGTCCCTTAGCATGCTGGTGACAAAGTCAGGGTGCATGCCCACTTTAAGGGGCTGCTCCCACAAGCTGTTTCTCTTCCATTTATTTAAGGAGAATGAGTGGTTAATGGGGCCGGGGGAGGCGAGGTGAGAGGGTTTATTATTCACACTGAGATGACATCAATGCAAACACCAGGCTTAAGAATGTTCCTATTTCCCACTGAGTTCTCCAGCTAGCAAGAGTCCTCTCCTGGCAGGTAGGCAGTCCTCGCACGCCTAATGCGTTATTTCCATAGCATATTTATTGATTCTAAATACTTGAGAGGGGAGGTTTTATTTTCTCCTTGTCTTTTTTTTTTTTCTTTTTCCTTCATCCACGCGACTCTCCACAGTGGCTTATTAGAGCCGTAGCATTTCATAAACCAGAGTGGACTTAAACTTTATCACCCCTCCCCCGTTACTGCCTCTGCCAGGTGATGGAGCAAACATTCCTGGAGCTGTTGGTACTCCCCGGTGTGGACGGGGAGCAGAGGTTTGTGAACAAATGGTTCCTTGCTAGCAAATTGGAAAATACAACTGTTGGATTCTTCATTGACATGGAACGTAACAGGTCCTTGCATGTGGACGCCAGGCGATGCTTCTCAAAGGCCGGCGCGCCCTGCCTCGCATTACTGATCCCGGCACCTCTGCCCGGCAGGTAGCCCAGGGGTTCCCACTTTACAGAGGGGGAAGCAGGACCCCACAAGGACAAGATTCACACTCGCGCTGGAGCCGTGATCAGTGCTTTTGTTTGAGCTGTGTTGAACAAGGCCCGCTCGTGCACACTCCAGCTGGGGGCTCTACTTGGTTCTTCCCAGCCTGCGAAGGGTTGCTATCTTCAGGGGACAGATAAAGTTGAAATTCATAGAGATTAAGTGACTTCCTCAAGGTCAAAGGTCACCTGACAAGACAGTGAAGGAGCAGGGACAAAGGTCAGGAGGGAGCCCTGGAAGTGCCAGAATCCCCAGCACTGAGCGCTGAGTGTGGGGCAATTTGTCACCTGCCAGGTTCTCAGGAACACACTAGAGGAGAAATAATGCCCCAGTTATCCTTTTACCCAAAGGGAAGGGAAGGCAGGGTCAAGGGAGTCCTTCTCCACGCTGCTTTGCGGGGAGAGCTGCCCAAGACCCTGGCGTGTGTGTCGAGAGTCACGACCCAATTGTGTGGCACAGCCCAGCAGGTGGCTTTGTCTGGGGTGGACCCCCTGCACACAGTACCAGCAGGTGAGGGGCCCTTGCACCTCACTCACCATCCAGGCCGAGACAGGCCCCACTCGCCCAGTAGGACACAAGCATCTTTGCTTCATGTCCTGTTTGTATTTGTGACAAATACAACAAATACAACTCGGTGGCCAAGTTAACACACATCAAGCGTTGACTGTGTGCTCCAACACACCCAGCTGCCTCTAGCTGCTCCGTCCCCCTATTAAAATGCCCCTTCTGAAGGGTACCCATGTTTTGGACTTTTCCTGATCTTGAAATCCAGTCGAAATGTATCCTTTCTGTGTCCCATGTTTTTAGACACATGCTAGAAAATCTGGTAGATGAACCTAAACAAAGCCCTCACCCAAAGGCTTCTAATTTATGTATCTATTCCCTCTTTTAGAAATGCAGTAAAATCCCTGTGAAGTAGTGAGATCCATAAAGACCTGAGTGGAGTCCTACTTCATCACCCACTAGCTGTATCTGGGGCAAATCACTTAACCTCTCTAAGCCTCAACTTTCTACTCTGCAAAAATTGAGAAGGAGGATTCCAGCGTGACTGTTATTAGGAAGGACCCCTTACTCTGCCCTTTCAATGGTCTTCTGGAAAAGACAGGCTGATGGTGGGGTTTCCCGTCCTTCAAACCTCCCCTCTCTCCCATGTATCACTTCCTGCCCCGCAGCTGAGAGCTGTCTCCTGCCTGGCACTCCGGAAGCCTTTGCTACCGGTGTCCCCGGATTGTCAGCTTCTCCAGGGCAGGAACCATCACACACAAAGCACTGGATAGAAAGTGTGGGCATTTTTATTTTCCCTGTACTTTGCAGAAAGCCATGTTAACTATCGGCTGATTGACTGATAGATTTGGGCCCTGGCTAGGCACCAAGACAGGGACTATATTTGCTGAACTTTTAGTTTTATATCCTGACAACCACCAATTCAGGCTACTAATCCTCAAAGGCCAGCTTACACCACCCCTTCAGAAACCTTCCCAAAAGCCCACCTCCGTTTTGGAGCATACTTCATTGTTTCGCAAGGATTTGTTTCCTTACGTCCTCAGCCAGCTCTGTCCCTCGTTCCCTGACTGAAGCAGGTTCTGGCACTCAGCAGAGATCTTGAAGTACTAAAAGGCCTGGATTCTAAACACGCCAGTGTCTACAGCACCAGCTTAGGCAGAGTTGGAGACCAGCTCAGCCAATAGAAAAGAGCCAGCTAGAGTAAGCACTTCAGCTGTTTCTGTGCATTTGCATGACAGAAAAAGGGTTTTAAAATGCCTGAGAATAGTTGGCTCTCTTAAACCAACTACATATGCCCTTTGCAGTCCTGTTTACCCTTCATTTTTGTCCAATGAATGAATGACTGAATGCAAGTGGACGGTGCCCATAGTATTATACCTGGCCTTGAAGTCCTAACAGATCTATCCATGGCGGTGGTGGCAACAGAAGGGCAGTGGTATCAACTATTATTGGGAGGGACTACTGGGCCTCCTCAGTGTGACCTCACACCAGCGGGTGTGATGCTCTTAAAAGAGACAAAGACAGGCAGGGTCTTAGAGACACAAACTCACGCAGAGCTGGAGAGACAAAGGCAGAGACTTTGTGATAAATAACAGAGTGGAGACAAAGAGAACAAGTCACAAATATGAAGACAGACCCACAAAAGTAGGGTTGGCCCCAAATGGTCAACAACAAGACCCCTGTGGCATCAGGAGGCTTCACTGGGTGCCCAGGAAGGAGAAGGCACAGCTCTGCCATCCGGGACCTCCAAGTGTAGCCACAGGAGCAGGGTGCTTGTGCATGGGTGAGCACGATCCCACTCCCCCCCGACTGGCAGGAGAAAGGCGTGATGGCAGGCAACAGACCTCCCTGCCCCTTCAAATGACTCCAGCCACCAAGCTTGATTTCTGTCTCCTCCTCCGAGCCTTCCTAGATGCCTTGGTTTCCTTTTCTCTGACCACACAACAAAGGGATGAATTACTTTCATAGCACATTGCTGTGGGTCTGCTTTTGCTTCCTGGCTAGGCTGCAAGCCTCCTGAGCTCAGACCCTAATCTAGCTGCTGATGCACTTTCTGCAATTCTTTGCAAAGGGGCTGGCGTCTAAAAGTTGCTCAGTATAGACCGATTACAGAGGGAAAGAGAAGAGCCAGCTGTTTGGAATGTGACCCAGCCTTGATGGCCAACTTTTTTCCCTTGAAGGGAAAGGTATGTAAGATAAACCCATTTCATTCCTGCTCCAAGTTTAGAGGTGTGTGTTTGGATGTGGGTGGGAGGAAGGAAGAGTATGGGTAGGGGTGGTAAGGAGATGGGGAGAAATCCTGGGAATTTGGATGGATGTGTTTTGTCTGTTCAGAGCCAAAGAGAAGGGTCTGTGTCTCCAAGGGCATGTGACACACCTGAGCATTCATATGACAAGGACTGGCCAATCAGAGTTCTCTACTACACAGAGTCCAATCAATCTGAGCTCTGATTGGTTCAGAGCTGGGAAACCAGGCCAATCGGAATCCTCCCAGGGTTTCTCTGGAGCTCTGGAGAAAGAGGCCGTCCTGTGTGCTCAGGAACAGCCAGTGATGCGCAGGCCTCAGGGCTGTGGGACTGGCTTCAGCGGTGAGTACCGGAGCACCTGCCTGGGAGTGGGGAGAAAGAGGCCTTGAAGGGACGGGTGATTCAAGTGCTTGAACCGGCCTGCTTCTCAAACTCTCCGTTTTGTGAGCCAATAAACCCCCTCCTGCTTTTTTTTTTTTTTTTCATTTTTAAAAACTAACACCAGTCATTTGCAATGGAAAGAGCCCTGGCTAACACAGTGAGTGGGTAGTCGGTGCATTTGCTCAGTCCCTGGCTTCACAAGAGAGCCGTGGTGCTGTGGGGAAATGAACCACAGTGTCTAACAGCTTAGACTGCAGGCAGGAAGGAGCCAGCCCCGAGGGATCTGAGGGACGGCTCCAGGGAGGCATCAGCCGGGGCAAAGGCTCTGGGGAGGGAGGGAGGGCGCTTGAGCAACTGAGGCACAGACGGAACCATCGCGGCAGTAACCGAGTGAGCAAGGGCAGAGGGACCCAACAAGGCAGAGATGCCGGCAGGCGCAGAGCCGGTCGGCCTTGAGGGTGGACACGGGGAGCTGGGATTGTCTTCCCCGACGGCGGATCTCTGGGGAGCGAAGGGGTCTGGCCAGCTCTGGCTGTTGTGAGGAGAGGGGCCGTGGAGAAACAGGGGTGGAAGCAGAAAGGTGCGTGAGGAGGCTGATGGAATAGTCCAGGTGAGCAGTAAATGGTTGCTTAGACCTTGGTGGGTGGAGGAGACAGAGAGATGCGTGTGGATTCAGCATGTGTCTTGGAGGGAGAGCCTATGCGAGTTATTGGTACACTGGATGTAGGAAGAGAAGGAATAAAAACATCAGATATTTTCCGACAGACCAGGGGAGTAACAAGTGTGGTGCATATACGTGTGCCACCAGTGCAAATGTACTTTGAAAAGGTAGGTGCCAAATGAGTGTGTTCTAGGCTGCCATTTCCTGGAAGGCAGGAGCTGGGTGCAGCCTGGAGATTGGCTCAGAGTGGGCTGGGTGGCTGGGTGGGTGGCTGGGTGGACAGGTGAACAGGCGATAGATTTTAGGAGGGATGAGTGCATGGATGGATGGGTGGGAAACTGGATGCATGAGGGGATGGGTTGGTGGGTGGATGTGCATGGATGGATGGGTGGGAAACTGGATGCATGAGGGGATGGGTTGGTGGGTGGATGGATTTTTAGATGGATGGGGACAGGATGGATGGATGGATGGATGAGGATGAGTGGGTGAGTGTTGGGTTGGGTGGATGGCTGGATGACAGGCTGTGTCCACTTTGGATGTCAAGGCCACATCAGAATCTTCTACTGCAGGAAGAGAGGGACATTACCTCCTCTCACTTGGGCTAAGAGGCTGTCTCAAGTCTCCCCAGGAGGGCCAGTAGGGACTGACTAAGGAGGCAGCTAGATTTTGGTACCCTTGGCTTGGAAAGAGGCACTATATGCCTGTGAGCCCAGAATCCAGAAGTGCCACTTCCTGCCCAGCACCTGCCACTCCCTGGGATCCCGAGGGATGGGTGGGTCTCACCCACCCTAGTCCGTTCTCCTCCTGGCCTCTCCTATGAACTTCCCCAGGAGGGCGTCCAGGGATCCTCTCTCACAGGCCGGGAGAGAGCAGCAGCCCCACTGGCCAGCGTCCGCATTGGAGGTGTCTGTGGACATGTGAAGGTGAAGCCCTCTTCAATTAGACACCCACTTAAGCTCTGTGAGGAAGAGGATGGCTCTACCTGGGCGTCAAGGGGTCTGGATTCCAGCTGCATGCAACTTCTCACGTCTTCCCTGGACTTGCTGTCAAACTGGATTCAGTGATCTCTAAGATCTTTCACAGAGATTTTATAAAATATCGATTTCTTGGTTGTTTCCATGATTTTTACTTTTTTAGAAAACAACTTTATTGAAGTATGATTTACACACCATAACGTTCATCCATTTTAAATGTATAATTCAATGATTTTTAGTAAGTTTACAGGATTGTGCAATCATCACCACAATCCAATTTTAGAACATTTTCATCACCCCAGAAAGATCCTTGTGTCTGTTTTCAGTCAATCCCAGCTCCCACTCCAACCCCCAGGCAACCATTAATCTGCTTTCTGTCTCTGTATTTGCCTTTTCTGGATGTTTCATATAAATAGAATCATACAATATGTGGTCTTTGTGCCTTACTTCTTTTACTTAGCATAATGTTTCCGAGATTCATCCATGTTGTGGTATTTTTTAAACAATGGAAGTAATTATAAGTTTTAAAACAAGGACTTAATCTTACTTTTCTAAATAATCTCCTGACAGATTCCAACATTTGTTTTAGACACAATGGATTTGAATGAGGTTCATTCCAACTTTCAAAGCTTGAATTTTCAATGTAAATTTTGGACAAGCCTAGATTCTTAGCTCTATACAGCACATGTCTGGTTGATTTGCTTGTTGGCTGGCTGGGTCCTCTTGGGCCAACTGATTGGCCACTTCCACCTGCTAGTCCTTTCCAGCTGGTTTACTCATCACGTTACCTTGAAGACATCCGCCGCCTTCCCTTCAGCCGATCGGGGATGGGTTGCTTCAGCAGCCACAGAGTTTTTTGTTTGCTTATTTGTTTATTTGGCACATTGCAGCATTTTGCCTGGGAACAAACATCACAGGAGAGAGGCCATTTTCAAGAACAGAGTGAGCGGGGATGCGTATATTTACAGCGACCCGTAGGCCAGCCCTGACATGGTTGAGTGGGGGTACCAGGCTGTATTTGTCCACGGGCCTTTTCAACCAATAGACATTGGCAGCCCCCTGTGTCCCAGGTAGTGCACCAGGTTTTGGACATAGAGGTGAACAAAATTGGATTTACATGTCCTGCTTGTTTCAATGTGCCACCTTGAGCAAATTACTATGTAACTTCTCTGGGCCTTGGTTTCCTCATCTGTAAAATGGGGATAGTAGTAGTACCCGCCCCATAGGATTTCTATAAAGAAATAATGCTGCCAAATACTTGGAACAGTGCCTGGCACTTCATATATGCTCAGTAGGTGGTGGCTATAGTATTACTATAATTGACATCATTGTGGCACACCCCTGCCCTCAGACAATTAGCATTCTTTAAAGCAACACAGACATGGAGTTAAACATCCATAAACAACCTGATGGGTGCTCAGCGGGCGCTTGCTAAGGTTACTGGGGGCTCACAGAGGAGGTCATGCTTGGCCTCCACCTAGCGTGGGTGTGGAAGATTGGCCAGTCACGTGCACTCTTCCAGACATGGACACATCAAATGTGGTTTTGAACAACTCTGATTATATACCATGCCCGTGATGGGATTGGCATCCAGTTCCACTTGGACTGTCCCCAGCCCAGCTTCTCTGTGTCATGGCTGGTCTTGGCGTCTGCCCTGCCCCCTCCCGCCCCACACCCTTGCTGTGCTCTGACTCCACCCACTGCTTCCTCACCTGTCCCGTCCTTCCATCCTAGTCCTTCTTTCCAGGGTGCTCTCATGTCCAACCTGTTCCCACAGTTCTTTCCAACTCCTCCAGCGCGCCTGGCCCTTCCGTCACGCTCTCAAGGGCTCTGAGGTGTAAGGAGGTAACTTGAAGGACTGTATAAAAGGTCTTATCCAACTCCTTTGTTTTACAGATCTAGAAACCGAGGCCCCAGGAGAAGTGACCTGACACAGGGCAGCAATGGCACCCCCTGCAGTGAGCTGTCCACCTTAGGAGTTGCCCGGAGTCCCCCTGCCTTGGACAGCCTCCCACCCATCCCCAAGGTCTGCTCCTGCACCCTAAACGCCCCTTCCATCCACCCGCCCAGCCCGGAGCCACGACCCTTCCCAGCCGCCTTCCTGATCGCCCTGCCTTCCCCTTCCCTTTCCACCTCTGGTGTCCCCAGTGCAGCAGGAATGAACTTTCTAGAATACAAACCTGATTATCCCCCTCCCCCACTGAGAATCGTCAGTGACATCCCACCGGCCCTGGAATAGCCCACGCTCCCTAGCAAGCCTTTCCAGGCCAGTGGCGGGAGCATCGGCACCCGCGGCCTCTGACCTCCCACGTTCCACGGGTCCACCCGAGGGGCGTCCCTCACGTCTTCGACCCTACCGTGCCCTCCTCACCCCTGGCTGTTTGCACAGGCCCTCGCCTCTGCCTGGGACTCTGCCCACGCCTCCTGTCCCTGCCAATCGACCCGGCCCCTTGGCCTGGACGATAACTGCTCATCTTTAAGACCTTCCCTGCCCAGGTTAAGCCTGCTCCGGGCCCCTGCCATTCTCTGGACCTCCTCATCATACGCCCACCCGCTGCTGGAATCCCGCCGTAGCGCCATCTTCCCCAGGGGCTCTCGGCTCACGCCTGCCGCTCTCAGCACAGTGCCCACGGATAAAGGCGCCAATGCGTGTTTGGTTCTCGCTGATCTTGTCCCTTTCTTTTACCTGGTGGCGCAAGTTACATGGTCCCTAGTGTTCCCACCTTGCCTTGCCCCTGAACGGGGCTGGAGGAATGGCTCTCCCCCCTTCAGACAGGCAGCAAGAAGTCAGCCGTGTTTCTACGAGAGCCAGGCTGCAAGACGTGTTCCGCCTAAAGATCGTGCCCACTCTCTCGCTGCCCCTCCCCGCCCAGCCACGCTGCGGGCCCCAAGCCCGCCAGGAACGCCGCCGCCAAGAAGAAAACAAGCAAGGGAAAAGGTGGAAGGGCCGGGGCCCCCAACGGAACAAAACAAAAAAACCCCCACCCCCCCCAACCCCCGCCGCCAAGCCGGCAGGGCCCGGAAACCCCGGCCGGGGGGGTGGAAACCCCTGGCCGGAACCAAGGAAAGCAAGCCTCCCAACGGAGGGAAGGGAAAGGGCCGGAAAAAACGAACAACAGCCGTTCCAGGCTCTCAGAACTCCTCAGTGTGTTCTTTCTGCTCCAGACACTGCCCTTTAAGAGAAATATTTTAAAATAATGACATTGTGATTCCCAACCTTTGCGGGGGAAGGCCTGTTTATAATATAAAAATATGTACCTATCTCCCGCCCTCCCATTCCCTGTGACGACGACACTTCTCTAATAAAGCTTGGTGCTCTGCAGAGATTTCGAATTGGTTACCAAGCATCCATTCTCCCCTCTCCCTTAATTAGCAGAATCCCACTTTTTGACTGAGCACATTACAGCCGAGATAAGAGATTGCTTCCGGTACAGCTGAGGTGTGAGCACGTGATCAGATTCCGGCTGATGGCAGCTTTGTGTGGCACTTCTAGAAACTCATAAAAGAGAAAACATGCCTTCCTTTCCCCCTTTCCTGCTGCCAGGAACACAGATGTGATGGCTGAATTTCAGCAGCCATCTCAGACCATGAGGATGGAAGCCACTTTGTGAAGATGGCAGAGAAGAAAGCAGGAGCTGCAACATCTGCTAGAATCTTAGAGCTTCCACGTCAGCTCCAAACTGCCCCCCTTGGCCTTCTACTTGAGGGAGTAAGAACTGCCAATCTTGTTTTAAGCTATTGCTATTTGAGCTTTTTTCATTGTACGAAGCTGAATCTAGTCCTAAGAAATACAGTACCAAAAGATTTACAGAACCCTTGAAATAAGGCTCCCGGGAGTCTGTGTCCTAGAGTTTGGGACAATTGAACGAGGAAGTGGACTGCAAAGGAAATCTTGATGATGGGGGAAGGGGCAGGGTGGAACCTAAAAACCACATCCACTGGGATGCAGTGGCTGAACTGGGAATCTTTAGACGATAAATGAGCACAGCCAGAGCATACATTTCTGAGGGGCAGGTCCGGAGAAGAGCGATGAAAATTCTGGGATGTTCCACAGCATAGACATCACAGTAGGGCAGAATTCATCACTAACCTCCTAATAGTTAGACCGGCTCAGAAATGGAACAGGTATATCAACATGAAATGGGTGGCCGCCAATTTTCCAACTGGCCAATAGTTGATTAAATGATGTGATTCTAAAAAAATTAGAGGAAGTTTTCCCCTAAAGTCATGATTTTACTTTAGAATTTCTGATGCCCCCTATAGCTCTTAGAAGCCCAGAAGAGGTCAAAGCACATAGTAGGTGCTCAGTATATCTTTGTTGAATAAATGAATGATCCACTCATTCATTGACTGCTTACAGGCCAGTTTCTATTTTGATCCAAACAAACAAAAAAGGAACAGGGAATTGCGATTGAAGAAAATGTAAGGCCTTCTTTCTATGCTCGGGGCAAAATGCCACTGACATTGGTATGCGCTGAAAAGGCTTTTGTGGCACAACTTAAAGACATCCTTGCCCTGTCGGAGGGTGGCCTTCCTATGGTATGCTTGGGGACAGGCATCACCCTTGGATCTGCTCCTGTCATATCTGCAGGGAAGCTGCTCCCTGCAGGTTTGCAGATCCCTGCTGACAACACAGAGCTTTTGCCCTCCTTCGAGTGGTCCTGCTACTGCTGTGGCCTCAGTGGAGGGCAAGGGGGAGCCACATTCCTGCCACCTCTCCATCCCTTGATTCTGCCGAGGCAGGAAGGAGGGTGCCCTTGTTTGAACGCTCCCTCCTCCAAAACCCATGTTGAAATTTATCTGCCAATGTAATGGTATTGGGAGGTGGGGCCTTTAAGAGGAAGGAAATTAGTTGTGAGGGCTCGGCCCTCACAAATGGATTGATGCCATTATCACGAGAGTGGGCTCCCGGTGAAAGGGTCAGCTGGGCCCCTTTCCTCTCTACCTGCGTGCCCTCACCCTCTCCCGCCCTCTCCCGCCCTCTCCCGCCTGTGATGCCTTCCGCCCTGGGTCACACTCCCCAGATGCTGGCGGCTGCTCTTGGACTTTCCAGCACACAGAGCTGTGAGCCAAATAAACCTCTGTTCTTTATAAATTACCGAGTCCGTGGTATTCTGTGATAGCAGCAAAAAATAGATGAAGACAGGGTTGTGGACATCTGAAAGAAACTGTAACAAAGGGATAAAAAATCTAAAGCCACAGGTTAAATATGACACTTCCCATTAAGGGAAAATAACAGCAGCAGTAGAAAGTTCACTGTCTGCTGGAGGGGCCCCTGTGGGCACCCCGAGGTCTCCACCTCCCTCTGCTCACCTGAGCTCCAGTACCTTCGCTCTTTATTCTTACAAATCTCCATGGGCTGGCTCCCCAGCGCTTAGGGGACCCCATGTCCTGCCCATAGGGGCTGGACCTGCTTCCCCACCGGGCAGTCCAAGAGACATAATCCCTCCCCAGCGATGCCTTTCCCAAAGCCCAAGGAATCCGATTTGACATGACCCTGAGCTGAATTTGGGTGGAGAGGTGGGGGCAGTAGCATAGTCTAGGCATCCAGCACACACACACGTGCACGCAGGCATGCACACACACGGGCACACTCACACCCCACTCCCAAGGACCGACAGTAACCCCTAGGGGCATTAGAGCCAGACCCATAGAACGTAGCAAAACCTTTGCCTGAATATGTTGCCAGCCGTCCGGGGAGGGAGCAGAGTGGCACCCATGTCCCTTTCATTCACCCCTGTCCCTCCATCCCCAGAGGACAGCCGCCCTTGCAGCTGCAAACGGCAGAGGCCCGCGCCCTGGCAGGGCTTTGGTTTCACAGAAGGCAGCAGAAGCTCGGAAATCCCTGCTTGTCCCTGGCCAGGTGCCCCCCACTAACCTCTGAAGGCAGAGGGAGGCGGGTGAGGATTTACGGCCTCTCTGCACATGGCAGCGGCCCCGGGGCGGGAGAGAGTGTTGGTTCTTCCTGTTACCAATGCACACTGTGTATCAGGACTCGTGATTTTAGGGACCACAGCACGATTTCATCTGGAACAAAGTTTACTTGCATTTAGAGAAGGAAAAGTGACTGACCCGCGCCTTCCTCAGCCCTTCCCTCATTCTGACACAATTGTTCTGGGAGAAAATGATCAGTTTCCTCCCCGAGACCCTTTCCCGGCAGACGGAGCTTCCGCGGGCTGGGAGAATTGCACGGAGCATCCCCTTTCCATTATTCAAGCACGCGCTGTATCGTGGAAGGTTGAATAAGGCAAAATCATAATGCACATGCTTTTATCTCGAGGGTTGGTATTTTTAGTATGGAAGCCAGGCTAAATGAAATTAAAATTAAAAAAAATAAAAAGGAAGGGAAAATATACTGAGGCTTAGATCATTGGCTGAGATTACGCAAACATTCTTCAGTTCTGAATCCTGGTGGAACGGTTCTTGCGGTTCTTGCGGGTTTGTGTGTGTGTGGGGGGGTGGGGTTCATTCCAGAGCAGAGGGCAAGAAGAGGGGTACACGGGGGGCCGTGGTTACAGGGCTGCCTCAGTATCCTGGGACAAGGCCTGGCTGCCAAGGCTGGATCTCGAAGCTTCTGAGCACCCTCTCTGTGGTCAGCCCTGTCCTGGGAACCTTCCTGTGTGGACTGTCCTTGGCTCTTAGGATGGCTCTGCCAGGCAGGTCCCATGGCTCCCATCTCCCAGGGGAAGGCCGAAGTCCTAAGGTCCCCCCTGACTTGCCCAGGCTGCTCAGCCAGGAGCTGAGCTCGGGCTGTCTGACTCCAAAGTCCTTACTCCTTCCCTGCACCTGCCACCGCTGCCAGGGGAGGTTGTCCTCCAGCCTCAGGAAAGCGGATCCTAGAAATATCCCCCACCTCATGTAAAAAAAAACACCTGTTTTTCTGGTTAGGAAGAAAGCCCTAAAACATCATGAAGAGCCCCGCTGGGCTGGGCGCCATGGCTGGGGCAGCCTTGTGAGGCGCTGGACCAGCCCGGTCTGGGACTGGCCGAGGGGCTGTGAGCAGGGCCCCAGATCCAGGCTGCAAGATGACACCTGGCAGTCAGCAGGGACATGGTAGCAGCCTCCTCACTGCCCACACGGTCCTAGGATCAAGCCACCCTTGAGTGGGCCTGGCCCAGTTGGCAGCAGTGCCTGTCCTTGTTGGAGCACAGCCACCACCCCTCCCAGCTGTGCTGAGGTGGCCGTCATGCCAGGCCCCTGCCCCATGAGGCCAGAACCCTGCTCAGTCGGAGCAGCTCTGTGACTCCAGGGCCTGTGCCTGTGCCGTAGGCCATCTGCCCGCCAGGACACAAGGCGCAACTTTCTGGAGATGCAGTGCAGAGTGGAAGGAAGTCTTTGTGCTTTCGAGGCAGACAGACCTGGAATCAAATCTCTGTGCTGCCACTTAATGGCTGGGTGACCTCTCTGAACCTCATTCCCCTCTGTTATAAGGATAACTATAACAACCTCATAGAATTATTGCTAAATGAAATGAGATAATTACTTAAAACACTTAGGCCAATGCTGTCTTTGAGGCCAAGTGCCCTGTTATATCCTGTGTCAGGCTTAGGGGACTCCGCAGTGTAGCTTCTCTGTTCTCTTTCTTCTAGGAGAATGACACCCTAGCCCCAGCTACCGCCAGGCAAGGGCTGAGCTCTCAGGCATGCATCATCGCACCGCGACAAGCAAGAGCCATCAGCAGCTTACAGCTAAGGCACTTGCACTGATAACTCGCTGAGGGTCGCACGGCCAGTAGGTGACAGCAGGGACTCTACCCGGGGCGGGTCTGACTCCAGAGCAGCTGTCCTGACTACCCCGATGCTTCCTATTCCAGCAGATGTCACTGAGGTGGCTCCGTGTCAAATCGTGTTCAGATGTCACTGAGGTGGCTCCGTGTCAAATCGTGTTTACATTGCCTCCTGACAGCCTATTTTGTATGGAGCCAGGGTGTGTGTGTGTGTGTGTGTGTGTGTGCACATGCATGTGTAAGTGTGCAGGGGTGTGTATCTCCCAGGTCACGATAAGGGACAAGGCCCTGGCAGGCCGCAGAAGGAGCAGCCGGCTCATGTGCCCGTCCGTCGGACCTCGCCAGCGGCTGTGGAACCGCAGGCAATCCCTGCGTCCTCCTGAGCCCCTTTCCTGGCTTCGCAAAGCAGAGCCGTCCCCCCACTGTCCTCGGCAGGACTGCAGAACGCAGGACAGCGCCTTCCGGGTCCCCGGCGCCTGCTCTCGGTCAGCCCCCGAGCACCTGAGCGTGTCCTGCAGCCTGGGCTGCAGCTGGCTCTGGACTCGTCCTCGCACCTGGGACGCTCTCCTGCCCCCAGCGACACGCTCTCTCGAGGAGGGCACGACCTAGATTTCCCGCATCCCCAGCTCTGTCCCGCGAACACGACTGTGGTATAACACGGAGAACCCCTGCTGGATCTCACCGCAAACTGGAGCATGCCTGCGTGTGCGTGTCTGAGCGTGTGGGTGTGTTCCGATACTTCCCTTGAGAGAGAACGAGCTTCTATTTACAACGTGCTTTCCGAGGTACCTTCTGGTGGCTCACCTGCCCTGCCCCGCTTGCCTGCCCTGCCAGGTGAGGGGCTCAGGGGGCTAGGCGGCTCACTGGGAGTCAGACTGGCTCTGTCCCAGCCGCCCTCGCAGACTTACCCGCAGCAGGGAGCAGCCTGGCTGTGCTGCCTGTCCTGGCGGAGGCGGGCAGGTGGGCTGTCCTGGCGGAGGCGGGCAGGTGGGCTGTCCTGGCGGAGGCGTGCAGGTGGGACAGACCCCACATCCCACACCTGGGGCCTGGAAGGCTGAGGGGCTGCCATGGGGGGATGGGCCGGCGGGGCATTGGCCCCTGTGGCCAGGCAGCGTCCCCCTCTCGTCAGCCCTCACCGCCCGTGTGAGGCAAGGTCCTCCTGAGCGGGCTGAGGGTGGACCAGGGCACAGGTGAGGCCTCTGACAGGGAGGGAGGAGGCCCCCCCCTGAGTGTGCGAGGACGGGGACCTTGAAGCTAGGGAAGAAGGGGTGTGAGGGGGACACATCGCGCAGGGCTGCCACTCAGGGTCCCCTCTGCTCACGGAGCCCCAGGGCAGCAGGGGCAGGAAGCCCCAGAGTGACACAGTGGTCAGCAGTGGTGACAGACGCGTGTGTGTGTGTGTGTGTGTGTGTGTGAGAGAGAGAGAGAGAGAGAGAAGGAGGGAGGGAGAGAGATGGCCCCGTGTGGGAGCTGGAGGCATCATGGGAGAAGCAGCAGAGACGACGCCACACAGCTGGCATCTCTAGAGCACCTGCTTCGGGCCTTCCCCTCCCTATTTCTGAGCCCCTGGGCCTTTAAGACCCTATGGTGCCCTAGAAAACACGGAGTGGGCTCCCTGGCCATGCCAGCCTCAGGCACGAGGCAGGCTGGCGGGTGCCTTGGTCCGAGCCCCTTTCTGACCACAGGCAGGTCAGTGCGGCCCCTGGGCCTGAGCGCCCCATGGGGACGTGGGGTGAGGGTCCGGCGCTACACCAGGCTGTGCAGTTCAAAGAGATGGGCAAGTGGCACAATCGTCACCAATAATGCGAGGGGCGCAGCCCTGCCAAGAGGAGCCTGGACTTGGAGGATGACGGGAAGGCTAAGCCTGTGCTCCCAAATTGACCGTTGTTTCCACGCTCATGCCTCTCTACCTGTGCCCTCGCCCCTCCCCGCCCTCTCCCCTCCGCCTGTGATGCCTTCCGCCCTGGTCACAACTCCCCAGATGCTGGCGCTGCTCTTGACTTTCCACCCACAGAGCTGTGAGCCAAATAAACCTCTTTCTTATAATTACCGAGTCCGTGGTATTCTGTGATAGCAGCAAAAATAGATGAAGACAGGGTTGTGGACATCTGAAAAGAATTGTAACAAAGCGAAAAAATCTAAAGCCACAGGTTAAATATGACACTTCCCATTAAGGAAAATAACAGCAGCAGTAGAAAGTTCACTGTCTGCTGGAGGGGCCCCTGTGGCCCCGAGGTCTCACCTCCCTCTGCTCACCTGAGCTCCCGTATCTTCGCTCTTTCTTCTTAATCTCCATGGGTGGCTCCCCAGCACTTAGGACCCATGTCCTGCCATAGGGCTGGACCTGCTTCCCCACCGGGCAGTCAAGAGACATAATCCTCCCCAGCGATGCCTTTTCCAAAGCCCAAGGAATCCGATTTGACATGACCTGAGCTGAATTTGGTGGAGAGGTGGGGGCAGTAGCATAGTAGGCATCCAGCACACACACACTGCACCAGGCATGCACACACACGCACACACACCCACTCAAGACCGACAGTACCCTAGGGCATTAAGCCAGACCCATGAAACGTAGCAAAACCTTGCCACATGTTCCGCCGTCTGGAGGAGCAGAGTGGCACCCATGTCCCTTTCATTCACCCTGCCCTCCATCCCCAGAGGACAGCCGCCCTTGCAGCTGCAAACGGCAGAGGCCCGCTCCCTGGCAGGGCTTTGGTTTCACAAGAAGGCAGCAGAAGCTCGGAAATCCCTGCTTGTCCCTGGCCAGGTCCCCCACTAACCTCTGAAGGCAGAGGAGGCGGGTGAGATTTACGGGCCTCTCTGCACATGCAGCGGCCAGGGGCGGAGAGATGTGGTTCTTCTGTTACGGATGCACGCTGTGTATCAGGACTCGTGATTTTAGGGACCACAGCACGATTTCATCTGGACAAAGTTACTTGCATTCAGAGAGAGAAAAGTGACTGACCGCGCCTTCCTCAGCCTCTTCATTCTGACACAATTGTTTCTGGGGAGAAAATGATCAGTTCCTCCCCGAGACCTTTCCCGCAGACGGAGCTTCCGCGGGCTGGGAGAATTGCACGGAGCATCCCCTTTCCATTATTCAAGCACGCGCTGTTCGTGGAAGGTTGAATAAGCAAATCATAATCACATGCTTTATCTCGAGGGTTGTTATTTTTAGTATGGAAGCCAGCTAAATGAAATTAAAATAAAAAAATAAAAAGGAGGAAATATACTGAGGCTTAGATCATTGGCTGAGATTACGCAACATTCTTCAGTTTGAATCTGGTGGAACGGTTCTGCGTTCTTGCGGGTTTGTGTGTGTGTGTGGGGGGTGGGGTCATTCCAGAGCAGAGGCAAGAAGAGGGTACACGGGGCTTGTGGTGACAGGGCTGCCTCAGTATCCTGGGACAAGGCCTGGCTGCCAAGGCTGGATCTCGAAGCTTCTGAGCACCCTCTCTGTGGTCAGCCCTGTCCTGGGAACCTTCCTGTGTGGATGTCCTTGGTCTTAGATGGCTCTGCCAGGCAGGTCCCATGCTCCCATCTCCCAGGGAAGCCAAAGTCCTAAGGTCCCCCTGATTTGCCCAGGCTGCTCAGCCAGGAGCTGAGCTCGGCTGTCTGACTCCGAAGTCCTTACTCTTCCCTGCACTGCCACCGCTGCCAGGGAGTTGTCCTCCAGCCTCAGGAAAGCGGATCCTAATATCCCCCACCTCATGTAAAAAAAACACTGTTTTTCTGGTTAGGAAGAAAGCCCTAAAACATAATGAAGAGCCCCGCTGGCTGGGCGCCATGGCTGGGCAGCCTTGTGAGGCGCTGGGACCAGCCCGGTCTGGGACTGGCCGAGGGCTGTGAGCAGGGCCCAGATCCAGGCTGCAAGATGACACTACCAGTCAGCAGGACATGGCAGCAGCCTCATCACTGCCCCACACGTCCTAGGATCAAGCCACCTCGAGTGGCCTGGCCCAGTGGACAGTGCCTGTCCTTGTTGGAGCACAGCCACCACCCTCCCAGCTGTGCTGAGGTGGCCGTCATGCCAGGCCCCCTGCCCCATGAGCCAGAACCCTGCTCAGTCGAGCAGCTCTGTGACTCCAGGCCTGTGCCTGTGCCGTAGGCCATCTGCCGCCAGGACACAAGGCGAAACTTTCTGGAGATGCAGTGCAGAGTGGAAGGAAGTCTTGTGCTTTCGAGCAGACAGACCTGGAATCAAATCTCGTGCTGCCACTTAATGGCTGGTGACCTCTCTGAACCTCATTCCCTCCTGTTATAAGGATAACTATAACAACCTCATAGAATTATTGCTAAATGAAATGAGATAATACTTAAAACACTTAGGCCAATGCTGTCTTTGAGGCCAAGTGCCCTGTTATATCCTGTGTCAGGCTTAGGGACTCCGCAGTGTAGCTTCTCTGTTCTCTTTCTTCTAGGAGAATGACACCCTAGCCCAGCTACTGCCAGGCGAGGCTGAGCTCTCAGATGCATCATCCGCACCGCGCAAGCAAGAGCCATCAGCAGCCTTACAGCTAAGGCACTTGCACTGGCAACTCCGAGGTGCGCACGCCAGCAGGTGACAGCAGGGATCTACCCGGGCAGGTCTGACTCCAGAGCAGCTGTCCTGATACCCCGATGCTCCTATTCCAGCAGATGTCACTGAGGTGGCTCCGTGTCAAATCGTGTTTACATGCTCCTGACAGCCTATTTTGTATGGAGCCAGGGTGTGTGTGTGTGGGTGTGTGTGTGTGTGTGTGTGCGTGTGTGTGTGTGTGCACATGCATGTGTAAGTGTGCAGGGGTGTGTATCTCCCAGGTCACGATAAGGACGAGGCCCTGGCAGGCCGCAGAAGGAGCAGCGGCTCATGTGCCCATCCGTCGACTCGCCAGCGGCTGTGAACCGCAGGCAATCCTGCGTCCTCCTGAGCCCCTTTCCTGGCTTGCAAACAGAGCCGCTCCTCCCACTGTCCTCGGCAGGACTGCAGAAACGCAGGACAGCGCCTTCGGGTCCCCGCTGCTCTCAGTCAGTCCCGAGCACCTGAGCATCTCTGCAGCCTGGCTGCAGCTGGCTCTGGACTTGTCCTTGCACCCGGGACGCTTCCTGCCCCCAGCGACACGCTCTCCCGAGGAGGCACGACCTAGATTTCCCGCATCCCCATGCTGTCCCGCGAACAGACTGTGGTATAACACGGAAACCCTGCTGATCTCACCGCAAACTGGAGCATGCTGCGTGTGCGTGTCTGAGCGTGGTGTGTTCCGATACTTCCCTTGAGAGAGAACGAGCTTCTATTTACAACGTGCTCCGGTACCTTCTGTGGGCTCACCTACCCTGCCCCGCTTGCCTGCCCTGCAGGTGAGGCTCAGGGGCTAGCGGCTTGCTGGGAGTCAGACTGGCTCTGTCCAGCCGCCCTCGCAGACTTGCCCGCAGCAGGAGCAGCCTGGCTGTGCTGCCTGTCCTGGGGAGGAGGGCAGGTGGGCTGGTGTGGCGGAGGCGGGCAGGTGGGCTGTCCTGCGGAGGCGGTGGTTCCTGGCGAGCGTGCAGATGGGACAGACCCCACATCCCACACCTGGGCCTGGAAGGCTGAGGGGCTGCTGTGGGGGATGGGCCGGCGGGCATTGGCCCCTGTGGCCAGGCAGCGTCCCCTCTCGTCAGCCCTCACCGCCCGTGTGAG